CCACGAAGGGCGAGAGCGGGGCCACGAAGGGCATGCATATGGGGCCACGAACAGCGCGAACGGGCGAGGGCCACGAAAGGCAGATAATGCGGGGCCACAGAAGGCAACGACGGGGCCACTGAAGGTAGCAACTGGGCCGCGTAGGACAGTGAGGGGGCCACACACGGCGACAGCGGGGCCACGAAGGGCATGCACATGGGGCCAAAACCGGCGCGAACGAGCGGGGGCCACGAAGTGCATACGTATATTGGGCCGCGGAGGGCAAGAACGGGGCCACTGAGGGCAGCAACGGGGCCACGAAGGGCAGCGAGGGGGCTACAAAGGGCGACAGCAGGGCCACGAAGGGCATGCATATGGACCACGAAGGGCAGCGAGGGGGCCACGGAGGGCTGCAACGGGGCCACGAAACAAAGCGAGGGCGCCACGAAGGGCTGCGACGGGGCCACGAAGGGCAGCGAGGAGGCCACGAGGGGCTGCAACGGGGCCACGAAGGGCAGCGAGGGGGCCACGAAGGGGTGCAACGGGGCCACGAAACAAAGCGAGGGGGCCACGAAGGGCTGCAACGGGGCCACGAAGGGCAGCGAGATCCTGATTCCTAGGTAATCTGTGAGGGAATCCTAAGCGTGAGCGCGACTCCTGGGTGCCTGGGTGTCGGGAGCGCGGCGCTCAAGTACATTGCAAGAAAGTCCAACGCAAGGGCGCTATTCTATAGTAAATTGCAAGCAAGTCTCCAGCGAGAGCGCGACTCCAGAGCGCCGGGAGAGCGATTCCTGAATAAATCGTAAGGAGGTCCCAAGAGAGAGCGCGATTCCTGAATAAAATGCGAAAAAAACTCTGGCGGGAGCGGGGGTCCTGGCTACATTGTGAAGAAGTTTCAGGCGGGAGCCGTTGCTGTTGTTGTAAACCGGGGGCCAACGACACAATTTGGCCCTCAAGACTTTCCCTGATAAAAAACAGGGTGCGAGCCCCGGGAAGGGCACTTCAATCGAAAAAACAATGTGCACCGGACGGGGGGGATCAACAATAATGATTCTTCAGACATGAGAGTTCAACAGCAACAGCAACAATAACAACAATCATCCTACGACTGCTCGCTGTTAGCTACTCGCTGCCCTCTTCGTCATCGATCGTACCCCCATTGGGGGTGTATCGTTCTTACCTGCCACGCACATTTAGCGCAGCCCCTAAAAGAGGGAAAGAGACGGATGGAAGGAGGAGGAAGAAGGATTGAGCACGAGAGAAACTAGCAGGAGGGGGACTGGGAGCAGAAACACGTGGCAAAACCAGACTGGCACATCGGGCGGGTAGACCCTAACAGGCGGGTCGGGAAGGCGGGCCCAGGCGGCCAGGTCGAGCAGGCGAGTTGCTGAAGCGTGAGCCCAGCATAAATCGCGACGAGGTCTCGAGCAATAGCGCGATTCCCAAGTGAATCGAGAAAAAGGCCAAAGCGACAGAGTGATTCCTAAGTGTCGAAGGCGCGGCGTCTGAATCCCACCAGCCCTCTGGGCGACAGGTGGCGAGGGTATCTTTCCTCTTCCACGACCCCTCTTCCCTCCCTTCGGGGAGGGGAGCCCTCCCCCTCCCCTCCCCGTTTTTTGGGGGAGGGGGCCCGATGTGTCAGAGGGTCCTTTTTCGGCCCCTGGGAGGGTCACTGTTTGACACCCCTCACGAGGATCGTGGCCCCCGAGGGGGGGAGCTACATCGAGGATTCCCCTCATTTGACCGACCGCCTCCAAGATGGCCCCCAGAGGCCTCCCCAGGGCTCCCAAGAGGCCTCCAAGAGGGCTCCAAGAGTGCCACAAGAGGCCCCAAGAGGCCTCCAGGAGGCACCCAAGAGGCCCCCGAGCGGCCTCAGAGAGCCCAAGATGGCCTCCAAGATGGCTCAAGATGGCCCAAGCTGGCTCAAGATGGCTCACAAGATGCTCCAAGAGGCCCCAAGACCGCTCCAAGACGGCTCGAGATGGCCACGGAACCTTCCCAGGAGGCCGCCTCGCTGTTTGACTATGCGTGTCTCTTCCTCTCCCCCCCCGGCAGCTCTGGTGGGGATACGCGAAGCGACAATAATAAATTGCGAGGAGGCCCCACGCGAGAGCACGATTCTTGGAAGTGTGGGGAATTCCCACGCGAGAGCGCGATGTTGGAATAGCTTGTCCGGAAATATGAAGCGGGAGCCGCTGTTGTTGTTGTAGCCAGGGGGGCAACAACACAGTTCAAACAGATCCCCCCCGATAAACAGAAGGGTGCGAGCCCCGAGGGTGGCACTTCATGTGAAAACATCGTGTGCACTGGCGGGTGGGGATCACCAATATTTGCCCTTCAAGATTGAAGATTCAACCACAACAACCATCATCATCTCAAGACTGCTCGCTGTTACCTGCTCGCGTGCCATTTAACATATGTATCCCGAACCCTCGATACCCATCCTATTCGTCTTCGATCGTACCCACCTGGGGGTATATCTTCCTTACCTGCCGCATGTCATTGGTGCAGTCCTTACACAGGGGAAGCGCGGCCGGATGGAAGGAGGAGGAAGAAGGATTACGCACGGGACTCGCAGGAGGAGGGCTAGGAGCGGGAAACACGAGGCAGAACCAGACGGGCTGATCGGGCGGGTAGACCCGAACGGGTGGGTCGGAAGGCGGGCCCAATCGGCCAGGTCGAGCAGGCGAGTTGCTGAAGCGTGAGTACTGCATGAATCGCGAGGACTTCTCGAGCGATAGCGCGATTCCCAAGTGAATCGCGAGAAAAAACAAAACGAGAGCGCGATACCTGAGCGTCAAGGGCGTGGCGGTTGAAGAAATCGCAAGGAAGTCCCACGCGAGAGCGCGATCCCTGCATACATTGTGAGGAAATCCCGCGCGAGAGCGCAATCTCTCAGTCATTCGCGAGGAAATATTAAAAGAGTGCCATTGTTGTAACCTGGGGGCGACCGGAAAGTTCGACCCGTCGGCTCCTAAACGCCCCCAAGTTGTCCCAGGAAACACCCCAAGAGGCCCCAAGAGGTCCCCCGGGAACCCCAAGAGATCCCCAGAAAGGTCCCCAAGACCTCCCCAGGAGGCGGCCCCTCAGAGGAAAAACTGGCTCCAACACGCCCCCAAGAGCCCCCCCACGAGAGCCAATAAGCCATCCGAATGGCCTTAAACCCACAATCCCATTCGCGGTCCAGGTACTCGCACACTTCGGGGATGGACAGACCCCCCTTTAGCAAAACGTGGTTTAGTGAAAACGACCTGAGGCCCAAACCTGGCGGGCGCAAGCCTGGAAAATAACGGCCACGGCGCCCTCTCGAAAACCGAAAACGGACAATTCACTAATCGACGTGTCACTGTTGGGGGTTCTGTCCACCCCCGAACACTGCCTCCAGATCCAAAGTGAAACCATGCGATCTGGGGGTGCCGGGATCGTCCTGAACGCCCTCCGAAGGTCAAAGCTCACGCCCGCAAACCAAATCCTCACTTTTCCTCCTCCACATTCTCCTCCTCCTCCTCATCATCCTCCTCCTCCTCCTCCTCATGCCCCTCCTCCTGGTGCTCGCCCCTGCGGCCCCGAGCGTCGACACAAGAAGGCCCCAGGACAGCAAGAGAAGGTCCCCGACTAGAACAAGGGGTCGGCGGATATGGCGTAAGCCTACATGATCAACATCATCATCATCCTCATCATCATCATCATCATCATCATCATCATCATCATCATCATCATCATCATCATCATCACCATCATCATCATCATCAGCAGCAGCAGCAGCATCAGCATCAGCATCAGCGCCATCAGCAGCATCAGGAGCATCATCATCATCATCATCAGAATCATCCGTCATCATCGACGTCATCATCATGATCATCACCATCATCATCAACCTGATCAGCATCATCAGCACAATTATTATCATCACCCCTCATCCTCAGCATCATCCTCTGTCACCTCATGATTATCCCCATCATCCACGCTCCTTGTCGCTGCTGTTGCTGGCTCTCGCCATCCTTCTCCTCCTAGCTCTCATCATCATCTTATGCTACCTCTCCCATCCTCCTCCTCCTCCTGCTCCTCCTCCTCCTCATCCTACCTCTCTTCCCGAATCATCCTCATCCTCCTCATCATCAGCATCATCATCATCATCATCATCATCATCATCATCATCATCATCATCATCATCATCATCATCATCATCATCATCATCATCATCATCATCATCATCATTGTCATCATCGTAGTTGGCATCATGAGCATCAGCATCGTCATCACCATCACAAGCATACTCCTCATCAGCATCATCATAGTCATCATTAGCATCATCAGCATCATCATCATAACTACCATCAGCATCATCAGCAGCATCATCAGCATCAACACATCATCAGCAGCAGCATCATAATCATCAGCGTCATCATCATCATCATCAGCATCATCATTTTCATCAGCATCATCATCATCATCAACAACATCATCATCATCATCATCATCGTCATCAGCAGCATCATAGTCATCATCATCAGCAGCATCATCATAGTCATCATCAGCAGCATCAGTATCGTCATCATCATCATCATCATCGTCATCAGCAGCATCATCATAATCGTCAGCTGCAGCATCATCACCATCATCATCAGCATCATCATCGGCAGCAGCATCATCACCATCATCATCGTCATCGTCATCGTCATCGACGTCGTCGTTCTCATACTCATCATCATGATCATCATCAGCAGCATCATCATCACCATCGTCGTCATCATAATCCTCCCTCATCGCTCTCGTCATCGTCGACGCCGTCGCCGATACCATCGTCGCCGGAATCGGCGCCGCCGCCCGAGTGGAAAACCGCCGAGAATCGACGAAAACGTCCGAAGACCTGGAACGTGCACTCGCCGACGTCGTCAACGTCGTCGTCGTCGTCGACGTCACCGTCGTCAACGTCATCCTCGTCGACGTCACCGTCGTCAACGACGACGGCACCGTCGCCGGCGTCGGGGCGGTCCGCCCGCAGCCGCCCTGGCGCGCGCCTCCTCGTTGATGATGGGGTTGCCAAGGCTGGCGCGGCAGAGCAACATGGCGAAGAGGCCCTTGTAGATACCCTCCTGCAGGTGGGCGGGGGGAGGAGGAGGGAGTGAGGAGGGAGGAGGAGGAGGAGGGAGGAGGGAAGAGGGAGAGGGAGAAGGGAGGAGGGGGACGGAGGAGGGAGCAGAGGGACGAGGGAGGACGAGGGAGGAAGGGAGGAGGAGGAGAGGAGGAGGAGGAGAGGGGGGAGGAGGAGGAGGAGGAAGGAGGAGGAGGAGGAGGAGGAGGGAGAAGGAGGAGGAGGAGGAGGAGGAGAGGAGGAGGAGGGAGGAAGGAGAGGAGGAGGAGGAGAGGGAGGCGAGGAGCGAGAGGAGGGAGGAGGGAGGAGGGAGGGAGGCCCACGCCGAGCCCCAACGGGCCCAGCAGGGAAACCCAAAACAGGGCCAAGAGGCTTAGGGGAGGGAGGAGGAGGGAAGAGGAGGAGGAGGATGGAGGAGGGAGGAAGAAGGATGAAGAGGGAGGAGGAGGGAGGAGGAGGGAGGAGGAGGAGGAGGAGAAGGAGGATGGCTGACCCGCTTGACGGTACCCTTGCCGCCAGCCCTGAGCCTTATTCCGGATGAAGAGGAACATGAGGAGGGAGGAGGACCGAACTGGAACTCTGAGAATACAAGAAAGATCACACTACTGAGCGAAAGCCTGGGCTAGCCTCCGCGAAAATGGCTGCGGGATTGGATGCCGACACGCTCTGTATGCCAATGAAGGGGCTGAGAGACGGCCCGAAGGAGGGGAGGGAGGGGAGGGGTTAAGGGAGAGAAAATGAAGAGGGCGTGGCAACGGTGAGGGGAACAAGACAAACCGTAGGGAGAGTGGGAGCGGGGAAGGCGAGGGAGAGGGGTAGGGGGAAGGTCCACTGCCGTGGGGGCCGGAATGGACACGCGTTCAGACACCCCTTTTTCATGTTTTCGCTTGCGAAGGGGGTAGGAGATGGACAGGGCGAAAGGCGAGGCCACAGAGAACGAGGCTCCACGCCGACAGAAAGATGCTCAGAACGCTTGCCAGAAACGAGCGGCTAACCTGGCCGACGACCAGATTAGTCCTGCAAGAAAACAGGAGTGGACCTGTAAAGATCACGCATGAATTTCTCGCCAGCAGGCCCTCGTCCCCGGATCAAATGCCTACGCCTGAAAATACCTCGGGGAGCCGGGGGGGCGGGCTACCCACACACGGCTTTGCGATCATGAGCGATCTAGAGAGGCAACGAGAGGAAGATTCAGCACGCCAAACCATTGGCCCACTGCTCCAGAATGCGTGGGATTCGTGGGCCTCACGGACCCCTGTAGGCGGGCCGCCACGAACAGAACTGGAAAGCTCCAAACGTCGGGCACGGCTACCTCCGCACCTGCTACACAAATCCACCTACCGATAAGCCTTCTAATATCAGGCACGCGGCCAGCACTCAGAAGGAGGCCTGGAGCCTTCTCAACGTACTCCAGCTCCTCGATATCTGTCCACTACCCTTTAAAACACAAGCGCTGGATGCGCAGCACGAGTCGCGGCGTCGGTCTCGCCGCGCCAACTCGCAGGTCCCGAAGCTGTTCATAAAGAAGCCGTCGCGGATGCACGCGAGCCCCGTCTCTGGCCCAGTGCACCACGAGCCCGCTGCCGTGCCAATCCGATAAGGTGGACCCCTTGTCAGAAGGGCCCCCGCGTGTGGGAGGACAGGGGTGGCGCCCGCACTATTCGAGGGTGGACAGAACACCCACCCTGACAAGTGAATTGTCCGTTTTCGGTTCTCGAGGGGGCGCCGCGACCGTCATTTTCCAGGCGTGCGCCCGCCGAGTTTGGACCCGAGGTCGTTTCCACTAAACCACGTTTTACTCAAGGGGGTTTTGTCCATCCCCGAACTATGGTGACCTGGTCCTTGCCGACGTCGCTGGTCGCAATCCGGAACCTGTTCGGAAACTCGGAGTGCTGGTGCTCAACGTTGCGGCCGCGTGGTTCGCCATACCCTAATCCATGCTGGCTCTTGAGCAGCCTGGCCATCGTGGCTGCGCAGAGCTCAGCCGCCCCTGACGTCTGCCAGGGAAAAGCCAAGGCCAGCAGCAGCAGCGACCATTTTGCCGATCCGATCAATCATGCAGAACGCCCATCCACTGCAAGCTCTGAACTCACAGCTTGGAAGCATGCAGCCCCCATCCACACACACAGGTTTCCACTGATCAACCCGCTCACGGTACACTGAAGCCACCGAACTTGGCATTCAGCCTGTGGCGGTGGTGGGTCATGCAGCGGATCAGTAAACAGGCCTTCGCACAACATCATGGTGGCAGGATGATGTTGACAATTTTCTGTCATTCCCCACTCAATCATTTTCCCCCCTGGCCAGGCCAGTCTTGCCTCTCGCGACAGTGCCAGGCACGCTTGAAGATCCGAAGCGAATCCGCGCCCTTCTCCTCCCCACGAATGGCGCATACATCTGAGAGAGCACCGCGTAGACGATGGAGCCTCAATTGATTGAAGCTCCTGCCAGCCACGCACGACGTAAGCCCGCACCGTTGGAATCGAATTCTGTGTTGAGCTTGCTGACCTCTTCAAATGCAGGTTGTGGAATAGGCGGCCCAGCAGCCCTTCCATCCCTCTACTGCCTGGAAACCCACTGAGCAGCCTCCTCTTGGTCGACTGCTTTATCACCTTCTTGAGCGCTTGAGCGTGGCCACTCCTGTCTCGTTGGGGTGGACGACAGCACCACGCTCGATGTACCAGGTACCCCACGAAGTTGCCGTCCATCCCATCCGCTTGAGGGTCATGAGGACAACGCCTGCGGGTCCTCGTACTGCTTTCCATGTTGAGATCGCCCCCTGAACATACTCAAAGGCCAACTGCATTGCCTTTGGCTTGACCCATTTGTCTCACTCAGCACTGAGCCGGAAAGCGAAAGTATACGAGCCGGAAAGCGAAGGTATACTCCTCCGCCATGCACGTGGAGTCGGATCTCGGACAGTGTGACAGCATGAACCCCATCGTCCTGCATCTGCCTCGCGCACCTCCGAAAAGAGCGTGTCATGCGATGGCCTGAACGTGCTTGGGATGCGCCTCCGACGTGCCTTGCACGTTGGCAGCGTAGGCTGCTGACGCTAAGCCTCCGCTAGACTGCCATCACCGACCACCTCTGCCATGGTCAGCGACGGCCACAGCGTAGAGACCTAATCATACGCCCCAAGCGTCATCAACAGCACCATAGTCGTACCGAAAATACACCCTGCAGTACCTCAATGTGTCACCTTTGTGAATATTCAAACCACGTTTCCAACTCGAATCACTCGCCGCCCAGCATGCGATTTCAGAAGTAAGATCAGCCTGGGTTTGTGTCGGCAGGCGATCCCATCGTTTCGCATCCAGTAGATGATTGAAAACCGTTTTGAAGTTCAGCACCACTGCCACCGACCGTTGATTGAGGGCCCTCCCAAGTTCTGCCATGAGCGCCTGCGACCACACTGCACGTTCTGACTTCAATCCTGCCTTCGCATAATGACAGCTGCTGGTGTTCTGTTTCAGCCCAACGTCCTGGTCCGCCTTCCTGCACTTGTTGCAGACCCTCAGTGTGTCCACCGAGAGCCCGATCAGCCCGAGTCCTTCTTCGGGCCTTGGTAAGCTAGGCATGATCATCGTCGTCGTCTGTTCAGGCAGCTCCTGAAGTCTCTCGGCTACACTCATCTCACAACCCCGAATGCACTGAGACTCTCATCGGATAGCTGGGCCCCGTTCCGCGGCCCCAGACTGTCAATGCCTGAAGATTCCTCCCCTCGGGAACCCACGGCGACGTTGCCCATGATCTCTGTCTCCAAGGGTTATGTGCGCAAGCGCATCCTCATGTTCAACCGTTTTGCAGCCTCGCGTGCCGCAACTCAAATAGCATCTCGCAGCCAATATTCCTCCCAACCCCATGTGTAACATACTGGTAGCACCAGATATCCCAATGACTGCCAATCATGGTGCTGTTCTTCGGACTCTTGGCGGACGAGACCAAGGACGAGAAGAAAGGCGAGGAGGAGGAAGAGGAAAGAGGTGGCGAGGAGCAGCAGCAGCAGGACGAAAAAGAGAAGGTAGGAGGGGACAGGAGAGGAAAGCTAGGTGGAGGAGTGCTCCTTGCTCCGCGTCTCTCTTACTCTCTCCTCCGCATCCTCCGCCTTATCCTCTCTCTTCATCCTCCTCATAATCCTTCAAACCCATCCTCCTCCTCCAGCTCATTCCCATCCGCATCAGATTCCTCCTTATCCTCCTCCTGCACTCCTCGTCCTCCTGTACTCCACCTCAGTCTCGTCCTCCTCCTCCTCCTTTCCTGGTCCTCCTACTGCTCCTGCTCCTCCTCCTGTCATCAGTACCACCATCCTCATCAACATCAACATCATCATCATCATCATCATCATCATCATCATCATCATCATCATCCTCATCCTCATCATCATCATCATCATCATCAGCAGCAGCAACAACATCAGAAGCAGCATCAGCAGCATCGACACCAGCACCATCATCATCGACATCATCATCATCATCATCATCATCATCATCATCAACATCATCATCAACATCATCAACAGCAGCAGCATCATCATCATCAGTATCAACATCATCAGCAGCATCATCAGCATCAGCGTCATCATCATCAGTATCATCGCCATTGTCATCATGATCAGCATCATCATCATCATCATCATCAGCATCATCATATGCATCTGCATCATCATCATCATCATCATCATCATCATCATCATCATCATCATCATCATCATCATCATCATCATCGTCATCATCATCATCATCATCATCATCAGCATCATGATCATCATCATCATCGTCATAATCATCAGCATCATCATCATCATCATCATCATTAGCATCATCAGCAGCATCAGCATCACCATCATAATCATCATCATCAGCAGCATCGTCATCATCATCATCATCAGTATCATCATCAGTAGCATCATCATCAGCGTCATCA